TCGGTTTGTGTCAATACTTTCGCCTGCCTAGCTGTAGTGTTTGCGTGTTATAATAGTCGGGAGAGAAGACGCAACAATAAATGTTCGTATTTTGCGTATTGTATTTGTAGTGGTGGTTACGTTAACATTACAATAGGTTTGGGGAGGGTTAATAAAGGGAAGGAATTTAATGCCCATTTATAATTTTAAGTAAACACAATATTTTTATATCTTCTCTATTTAGAAGAACTAGAATGCCAAATGTTTCTATTTTTTTTTTTTTTACTGTATTTTTCAAGCTACTATATTTTGTTTTCTGTTGTTTTTTTGTTTTGTTTTTTTTTGTATTTGGGGTGGTTATCAATTGTTAGGAGAGGTTGATATTTGAAGGGGTGGCGAGGGGGAGTCGTAGGTTTGTTGTGAAAATTAGAGATTGAATCCATTCCTATAATATGGCAGGCGACAGGGCTGTACTGAACAACGATGACAAAGGAGGGGGGTGGTGCAAATAAAAAAAGCTTTTTTACCATAAAAGTTTCACCAAAGTGCGGCTTTTTTATTTTATTTAAAAGCCAAATTTCAGTTTTAACCAACCGAGTCTCAAATTTTCCAAATTACCGACAAAACCGACAGAGTCTTGTAAACCTGGGAAGGTGCCCACACCCCCGTCGGTAAGGCCTTGGCAGGAGAGACTATTTTTGATCTCCGATTATTATGGCACATAACCTATAGGATGCAGCACATAAAAAGTATTAGTTAAACGTTCAATACCAAACTTGATTTAGTTGACTATAGGGCATTATTTGTACATTCCATGCTGATTGGGTGTTTATAAACAGTTGCAACAACCTCATAGGCAGTTGTCTCCGAGCTGGGAAAAAAAAATAATCCAATTTTGATTAAAACATTTTTTTTGAACAACAGTTAAGTTCGACGGGGCTCTAGAATTCATAATTAGTAAAGTGTTTAATTTTGATATAATAATATCTATCGCCTTAATAAAGCTTCCTCGTGTGTAAAATGTTTATTGCTTTAGTCGATTAAATTTAGTTACACTAAATATTTAATCGATTAATTTGAGTTAACTAAAAAGTTAGTCGACTAATTTTAGTTAGACTTAAAAGTTAGTCGGGTAATTTTAGTTAGCTTAAAAATTAGTCGGGTAATTTTAGTTAGCTAAAAAGTTAGTCGGGTAAATTTAGTTAACTAAAAAATTAGTCGGGTAATTTTAGTTAACTAAAAGATTAGTCGACTAATTTTAGTTAACTAAAACGTTAGTCAGGTAATTTTAGTTAACTAAAAGTTAGTCAACTAATTTTAGTTAGACTAAAAATTTAGTTAAGTATTTTTAGTTAGACTAAAACTAACCTTAACTCCCATCTCTATTTGTTAAGAGTTTTTTTTACAGAAAAGCTTTTATAAAAAATATCAAACAGATAAAGCTAACTTATTTAAAATAACTAGGTTTCTTAGGCTTCTTTTTCAATGTCCAATTTGCTTTTTAAATATATTTACTCTCTCTTTTAACTATTTTACTCTCTCTTTTAACTATTTTAACTTAATAATATTTTAAATCTCTCTTATGAGAGAGTTAAAATATTATCATAGCCTAAGTTTCCAAAAACACCTGAAGAAATGTTACGCAACTGTCTTAAATGCTGAAGAGATATTTATCATGTAGAAAATATTTAAGTAAAAAGTAATAATGTAATAAGTAAAAACACCTCTAAAGTATAGTAAATTAAAAATCAACCATAATAGTTCTAAAGTATAGTAAATTAAAAATCAGCTAGAAGGCAAGAACTTTAGGTAGCCAGTAAAATACAAACTGCGTACTTTTAATCGAACTAAGATGATCACAACAGTCATGATATTTAAAACATTTGCTCATCAATTTTTTTAATTAAGTACAATGGTATTTAGTATATTTTATTTGATTTAGACTGTTTTCTTTTAAATTAATTGTAATTTATGATATATAGATTATGATTTATGGTTCGCATTTTACAAATTATCAGAGCTTTAAATTGATTTATTTTTTGCCGTTTACTTCAAAATAAATTAAAGGATTAAGAATAAATTAGGAACAAGTTTAGAGATAGTCCGGTGTGGGTTAGACTTACCACGATGACAGCTAGTAGACTATTAATAAAATACTTTTATTAATAGTCTACTAGCTAAACACTTTCATGGAGAAATATAATTAAACATAGCTAAACACTTTCATGGAGAGCTTTCGATTCAATTAAGCTTCGATTAATTTCTTTTTGTTAATAATTATTACTAATAGTTGTTAACAAATTTAATCGAAAGCTCTCCATGAAAATATTTAGCTATGTTTAATTATATTTGACGCAAAAGTATTTTATTTTCAAGCGTTGTGAACTTCAAAACCCGTGTCTTTGATTCTTCTAACGGATGTTTGAAGGGAAAAACTAGAGGAATAAGAATTTTTTTAGCGCACAGGAACACTTACAGTAAAAAGATGAGACTTAATTAAATGATGCGTAACACAAGAATAAATTTTAGTAGTAGGCACAAGAGGCACTAAGTCTTTAGAACTGCACCCATTATAGTATTTGTAGTAAAGAAAGGAAAGAGAGAAAATAGAAAAAAGAAAACTCTAATTAAAAAACATCTTCTTTAATTGTGGGTAAAAGGAAAGGAAATCATAAATCATGGATGGTAACAAATTTAGTAGTATCGCAACACATATTCTCCTGATCTGGAGAGCAGCGTAATGCCAAGAAGGACATCTAGTTGCAAAAGTTGCTTTGACTCTTCCATTTCAAATTTAAATAAGAATGGTTCATAAAAGACACAGCTAACAACCTTCCATTTGTATTTATAACTGTATTTTTATTATCAAGTATGTATAAAGTAGTCGAATATGTATTATGTAAACAATATATTATGCATTTGTTATATTATAGCCAAATATGTATATTTGACTATAATATTTTAATAATAATATTTTAATATTTTTTAATTTAAGTATGTAGACAATTATCTTACTTACACAAATACAATAAAAATGCACACAAAAATAATTGCGTTTTGAAGTTGGCATATTTAAATCCTTACTTTTTGTCATTTTTATATTGATTTAGAGTGATGAAATCAATTATGAGTGAGAAAAAGAAAACGAGGAATCTGAAAATCTGAAAATTATATAGTGTAGAACCAAAGTATTTTTTTTTTTACATTGCTTTATTTGTTTTTTTTTAGAAATTTATGTTATATTTAATATACTTGTGGACATTATTCAAGATTATTTTTGCATTTTAAAAGAAAGAAGATGTCGGTCAATTCTGCTCTTGTTCAAAAACCAAAGCAACCCTGCAAACTGTCATCAAACAGCAAATCCAGAGTTGAAAATCAGTTGCAACAGTGAGTTTCATTATTTGCGTGTACACCTGGATTTATTTATATATAATTTAATATAATAATCTAAAAAAATTTCATCATAATTCATTTACAAGTTGTGAAAACTTGAATTGAACTTTTTATTAAATAATTTTCATTAAAAAAAAGTTGTGAAAAACTGTACAAACCACAGCAAATATGAAGTCGTGCATGTTACACTGTAAAATAAACTTAAAGTATTCAATCGTCAAAATTATTGTTTTTTTAGCAGCTCGTGTTAACAAAAGTTATCAAGTGGTTATTAAATAAATAAAAAAGTGATATGCTGATAACTAGAAAAAGTATATGTATAATTAGCTTTTATTACCATTATAATTAGTGATGAACATTCCAATGACTTCAACATATGAAATAGTGAACATTTTTTACCTACTATTGCTTCATCTGCTGAAAGGACAACGTCATTGTCAATGTTAAGTTCTACTACTGCAGGTAATTCGCTATAGTAACAATTCAACTGCTTAGTTAAATATTGTTGTATTCTAATGTAATCTTTTTATATCAGTATTTGTCCTGTATTTTTTAGTTTTTTTTAATATGAGCCATTTCTTGAATGGGCTATATACAAATGTTTTAAAAGTTAATAATAATTTTTTTTTGCTCCGAGTAATACATTGTTAAACGCAGGGTTCCCACAGTCCTAGAAAGTCCTTGAAAGTTCTGGAATTTAACTAGTGTCTTGAGAAATCTTGGAATTTTTCATTTTTCCTGAAAGATCCTGGAAAAGTTCTTAAATTTTAAAAATATATTCTTCAAAAATAGAATTGTATTATTTTTAAGTAACATTGGTTTCATAGTTAAAATTTTATTCTAGGAGACTTTAAATTAGTTTTATTTTAGCTTTATTTCGAATGAATTTTTTTTTTTTAATATGAAATTTTTTTTAACTAAAATCAACGAACTTTAGCCGAATTTTTTTGTTTTACTAAAATCCTGAAAAGTCCTAGAATTTTTTCTTTATTTGGGAATTATACTAGAAAAGTCCTTAAATTTTTTGTCAAATATCCCGTAAAAATCAGAAAATTGTTCTGGAATGTCTTGGAATTTAGAAATATTTTTTCTGTGTGATCCCTATAAACCTTGCAGTAATGGTTATAGATTTGTAAAATTACAAATCTTTAACTGTGTTATTACGCGGTTAAAGGTTGTAATAACTTTTTTTATTTAGACTCCATTAAGGTTTAAGTTAAACTGCTAACTCGCAAACAGTATTTAATTTAATAGTAACTTTGGTTAGCGATGTTGAGGAAATTAAAAAAACTAATACATCACTATTGCATTCTATTAAGCAAAAAGTATTAGTTACTGAAAAATTAATATTTAATTTACCTGAAGATATAAAGTTGCCACTGAAGTCTATAGCAGAAGTAGAAACATTAGAGGAAAATTTGTTTTGTGAAGAGAAAAAAAATTCTTGTAAGTTCAAAATTATTTATAAATTTAACTCGATATTTACAAATACTAAACTCAAGTTTAATTGCGTAAAATAATTTGGGTTTAAAGTCGAATGCCATGATATCATTATAATAGCTATTAAGGATGGGTTAAAATCTGATGGTGGAGTAATTTTATCATTTGAAACAAAATAATTCGGCTTCCTGAGTCGCATCATTTATTAAAAGATTTTAAATTGTTAAATTTTATTAAACTTTACTTAAATTGTTTCTCAAAATGTGTAAATTTAACGTTATAACGTTATTGAGTAAGAGTGACTTGTTTAAAGGAAGTGTGATCAAACATGACTTTACATGATTAAGAGTGACGATTGTCTTTTCATTACACGTCATTTCTTTTAGGCAAAACATATATTAGACATTGGTGGCGAGGATCTACGAAATTTCGACATGAGAGCAATGCCAGTTAGTAGTTGGTTAGCTTGCTCGCCAATTCAATTTGACAAGGCAGAAGGAAAAGAAATCGTTTAAACCACTATTGTTTTGTTAAATTTTTTTGAGTAAGAATTTTTTTACTATGCTGTGAAACCCAAATACAAGTCAATAAAATAATGAAGATGTTGAAAAAGAATTATCAAAATTTTCAAATGCAAGAGATCGTGATACTGACGGTCGCTGATATACAATTACGAAAACTACAATGGAGGCTCCCAGTTCAGATTAATGGACAAATAAAACATCTAATGTCTTTCAAGAATTATTTTTGTTTACTCTTTATTTTTTAAATGAAGAAAAATTTCACAAAAATCGGTAGTATTTTATGTAAAAATTCCTTTTTTTAAATATAAGACTTTCTTTTTTTGATTATTTACTTTCTGGTAATATTAACTCATGTAAATCAAATTTGTTTACGTCCACATATCGGGATTTTGAGCATACATACATTATTTCGCCATTTTTCGCTTTTTCATTGTATATATCTTCCAGTAATATGATAAAATCGTTCGCTACATTTTCTACAGTTAAGGGAACAATGTTTAAAGATTTTATTATGTATTCGGCTAACGCACTGTCTTTAACTATTTGAGTATCAGAAAATGATGGACACAATGCAGCAACTTTGACACCGTAATTTTCCTAAAAGAAAATTGTAAACATTTTTTCAGTGATTGTTACTATTTTCTATGAAATATTTTTTACATTTTTTAACTTTTATCATTAATATAACATAAATTAATGATCAAACTATAAAATATAAAAAGTTGAGTTATGAGTTTCCGGAGCAGTACTAAATTAAGGGAAGGAGGACTAGGGGAATATAGCTCCGGGCCCCGCAGTTTTGATATCTCAATTCAAGAAAATTAAATTTTGAAAGATAATCTAATTATCATCTATGATTTGTACATACAATTTATATTGTATTATAATATTCTTAATATTATTGGTACTTTATTGTTATTGTTATTATTTTGTATTATTACTATTATTATTACATATATCATTATTATTCGTTTAACAATCTTTTCTTCTTTTCTTTATTATTTATATATACAGATATTTCCTTTTTTTTTTTTTTTTTTTTTTTTTTTTTTTTTTTTTTTTGTTTACTTCAGTTTCCTTTTTTTTTTTTTTTCTTTCTATTTATTTATTTTTTCGTGAAATTTTTATGTTTTTAGGTGTCACTCCATTGACTAGTTTGTAACTATATGAGTGACATCTAACCAATTTATATTAATTTACGATGAAATTTGTAAATTTTATTGATATGGTTGAATAAAAAAGAAAAAAAAAAAAAAAAAAAAAAAAAAGAAACTCTGGAAGTAAAGTATTTGAATAATTTCATTTAAAAGGGCCTGTTGTTACTACTTCGTCATGACGACTTGTCAATAATTTTGTTGTTTTTACTTGTTAAATATTTTGTTGTTGCTACTTGTCAAATATTTTGTTGTTGCTACTTTTCAAATATTTTGTCATAACACTAATCTCTAAACAAGATTCTTTTGATAAAATTTTTCTTAGAAGATTTTTTGAAGATGGTTGAATTGAGTTTTTTTAGATTTTTTATTTACATTTATTTAATTCTTTCTAAACTCTTGAAACAAAACTTATTTAAAATTATTAAAATATCTTGTTATTAATTTGATTTCTCTAAATATAATATTGATTTATCTAAATAACACATCCTATAACTTATAAAATACTTTATATCAAAAGATTAATGCGCATAACTAAATAAATTTCGTAAAAAAATTTCCAAAAATATTTTTTTAATTCGAGGATTTTTTAAATATATATCTTTATTAAACTTATTATTTTAACTTCTGTTTTTTTTAAAAATCCTTCAAGTACGGGTAAGTACGGGTAAATTTGGAGTTGCAGAACTAGTGCAAAAATTATCTGACATTCAAGTTAATGTTGGTTTATTCTAAGCACATATCTGAAAATATTTTTGTTAGGTGTTTGAAAAGTAATTTAAGTTTTAACTTTTTTAAATTTTTTTTCAATTAAAAAACAAATGTAACATAAAAGGACAGTTTTTATCTTCTAGTACTGGCATCTACTGATCAAAATCAATTTAAATTAAATTAAAAATAATATTACTGTGATTATAATAATAGATTATTATATTGGTGCAGCAGAATGTTTGCTTTGACCAAAAACGGCATCTGTAAGTACGGTAACGTAAACTTAGTAACAAAACCTTAGGTCTCTTTGAACGTTAGGACTCTTTGGAGAACCTAGAACCATAAAAAAATATCCTATTATTATAATAGTTATTATAATTACCAGCACGTTGGAGCAAGCCAAAGACTTTGTGAAGGATACAACAGCAGATTTGGAAACAGAGTAAGGTATTGCTTCATGAAATTTAGCATACGCCAAACCGGCAACAGAGGCAACGTTGATAATAGTACCACCACTGCCGCCATTCTTAATATTCATTTTTTCCAATGCTATATAACTCATTTGCATAACTGAAATCTAAATTGATTTAATAACAATAAGTATTTAAGTAAAAGAATGAATAATTTAAATAGTTAGAATAATTAAAACAACTCCAACTATTTAATATAGATATTTTTGAATAATAAATGAATATTTTAGATTTACCACTACATTTCCAGTAAAGACATAACAACGTCTTTTACAAAAATTTTAACTTTTACAACGTTTTGTTATTTTTATTATTTTATTTGAACTTTTTTTTTATATTTATGTTTTATATAATTGTATGATCTTAGTTTGACGATATACGGTATTGGACAAAACATTTGCAACCAACATTGAACAATGCTAAAAAGTGTTCCTAGTTTTACATGTCTTAATAACGAAACGAACTATACTACCCGAGCAAACAGTTCAGGAGTCTAGAGTCATAGCATGCCATGACATGAGCAATCAGTTGACAGGTGATAGCACACAGGCAGAATTTCGTTGACAAGTGCCATTTTGCAGCGGACAAAACAAGAGCAACTTTTTTGGTTTTTTTCATTTTCTTAAGTCTGGTTCGTGTCAGTGTCACGGAAGTTTTTTAATAATTAAAGCAAGTATCCAGAATTTTACAGAAGCTTACAGAAGCTTCCAGTCTTGAGAAGCGTGATTATTTATTTTTATTATTTTTATGACTTCAAGTGCAAAAATGGCTTCCGACAGTCTCGGATTGGAACTAAGAAAGAAAATTATTCGCGATTACGTAAGTGTAATGTCACAAAAAAGTATTTGTGATAAATACCGCGTGAAAAAACGGACCGTATCAAGACTGTGTTTCAAATATCGTTCTACAGATAAAAAAGGTGGAAGACCGCGTTCCACCACTTCTAGAGAAGATTCTATGATCGTCAGATCCGTCAATAGGATCCCTGGATATCATCAGTCGAGATGCAAAAGCAATAAGAGCTACCTATATTTTGATTAATTTATTAATTTTCGTGTACAAATAATGAACTTTGTTATGAATAAAACTTAAAGAACGTTGTTACATAGTTATTTCTCTAAATTAAAAAAATGCAGCACTTTTATATAAAGAAACTAAGTTAGCATTATTTGGTTGCACTTGTTTTGTCCGATACTGTATATATAAAGAAGCATTTTAAAATATGCGCAACATTAGATAAAGATATGCCAAACTAATTAATTCAATAACGTTTTGTTTACCAAAATCAAAGTTGTTTGTGTGACACTAAAACTTAAATCATCACAAATGATTAAAAAATACCTACTAAATTAATATTCATTGTTTTTCTCCAGTCAGCAGCGTTATAAATTCCAGCATTGTTTACCAATACACTTATTTTTCCGTCTAGTTTTTTTTCACTATCCTCCCATATGTTTCTCATTAGCAGTTCGTCGGTAACATCTCCCTCATAGAAAAGACATTGACCTGGATGCGCTTCATTCAACTCTTTTTCAGTTGCTTCGCCAACTTCTTTTAGAATATCTATAATTATAACTTTACCACCACGTTGAACAATAGCCGAAGCAAACCCTTTTCCCAGACCTCTTGATCCACCAGTTATCAGAAATATTTGGTTAAAGGTACTCATTGCATAAAAATGATTTTGTAGAATAAATTAGCACTTTTAATTTTCTCAACTTTAAAAAACAAAACCACGCTTTAAACTATAAATCTTTACAAGAATTATTTTACACTTTGTTGCAATGTTTAGATAGCAAAAGCAAACTTTATTGTTTTCTCCAAATAAACTCAATTAAGTAAACAAATGCGTACTCGGCGTAGTTTAGGCGATTTGTAAATTATTCAAATTCTTTTATATGGAATTAGCATGATTTTGTTTCAAGTTTATATAACGTTTAAAGAAACTTTTTTCTTTTTTAAATAATTTTCAAAGCTTTTTTATTACCCCTAATTGTAAATCTAAAGAAAAACATTTTTCAGTTTTTAGATCAAGTCTGTTCAACAGCGTTTACTTAATTTTAATAGCTTACCGTTTGTGTTGTAAAAATAGACCTACTTATAGTTGCGCAAGTGATTATGGGATTGATTTTCAAACAAGCAATTTGATAAACATGAAGAGCAAAGGTTCTGCAAAGTATTGTTCTTGGGGAATTTGTAGATCAGATTCTATTTATAGTGATAGATTAATTCCAGGAACATTGTAAGGCTTCCTAAATCTGGAAATAATTAAGAAATAATGACTGACTGGCAAAAACAAATGAAAAATTTTAAATTAAAAACATGGCTTCATATGTTTGAAAGAAGAGATTTTAACAACTTTGCTAAAACATTGATGATTAAAAATAAAAAAGTAGTATGTACACACTAAAAAAAAGGTAGAAATTTCAACCTTAGGATAGGATATGTGGCATACTTTTAATAATGTATAAATTTTTACCTTTTAAGGTAGAAAATTACACCTTACTAAGGGTATATCACATATCCTACCTTAACTAAAAATTTCTACCTTTATTTTTTAGTGTGTAGGCATTATTTGATTTTGTTGGTCCAGCAAAATATGAATTAAGTTACTAGAATTCCACAAACAGAGATACTACACAAAAGAAACCTAACTAATTATAGCCTTGTTTTATCTTTAAAAGTTGTAAACTTATAAGAAACATGTTCGTTGGAACCATGATGCTGAAATATGGCAAAAATTGAGAGCATTACCTGTTTTGTTTAGCAAATATAAATTCTAACCCTGCATCGTTTTATTTTAAACACAGCAAAAAACTATAAAAATAGTTTTTTAAGGATCTTTTTAAAATATTTTGTAAAACAATAAGGAGTGAATAATAAACTCTAGACTCAATTTACCTTAAATCTTCAGATTTTTTTCAAATTTCTTATATAAAAAAGTGTATAATAGAACTCAATAAAAATTTTTACATTGCTGTAAAGGCCCTAAAGTTAACGGGACATTTAAATTATACTGCCTCAGGTACTGAATTTCTTTACTAATCTTCTTTTATTCCTTTCATACTGGTGAAAAAAGAATGACACCTTTAAATTTAAACAAATAAAAATATTTGAGTACATTATTACAAAGTTGAGTTAAAAATAAAATAAGTAAAAAACTATATATATATATATATATATATATATATATATATATATATATATATATATATATACATATATATATATATATATATATATATATATATATATATATATATATATATATATATATATATATATATATAATATATATATATATATATATATATATATATATATATATATATATATATATATATATATATATATATATATATATATATATATATATATATATATATATATATATATATATATATATATATATATATATATATATATATATATATATATATATATATATATATATATATATATATATATATCATACCTGCCATTATTTGTAAAAATTTTTATTTATCTGAAACTTTAGATGTTGAGACAAAATAAAAAAACCTCTTAATCTAAAGCCAATAATATAATTATTTAGAAATGTAGCTATAAAAATAACTTTTTTGACAATATTGTAGGTCTATCACACATTGATCAGTCAAAATTCTTTCTGAATCAATTATCTTTTCAGAAGTTGATGGCATATTAACTACATAACCATCTAACAAAACATAAAAAGTAAAAGTGTTATGACACTACCAAGAAAATTTGCAATCCAGTTGCATTTTGCTGTTTTAACAGTTTTTTTAGTTGCATGTTGCTGTTTTGACTACTAATAATGCTTATTGTGCCAATTATATCCTATAGCATTTTTCATTAAATGGTAGACATGTGTACGTAAATAATAGGTATTGACAGAAGAATCAATTTCATTTATAGTATTCGAAGTTAAAATAATATTGTCTTGAATATTTTTAATGCAAAAGATATTAAAATTTTCTGTCCTTTTTTAAGAAGGCTTTTATTAGTTTCAGTTAATTTTACTTAAATTGACATCTTTTTTCACCTTTTTTGTCTATGACACTCAATCCATCATTTTATCTTGTCGACATTAAAATCAAAAAAAAAAAAGCATTTTTTAAAAATGCTTTCGGATCATTTTTTTTCTAACAAAAAGCCTCGTTCATTTTTTTTTCAATGCCAATATAAACTTTTATCACAATCATAAATCTTATATGAAATACATTACACTTCATTGAGCAGCTATGCATACAAAAATAATTTGTTTGTCTAAATGTCAATTCCAGAATTCTAATTAGTAAAAATTCGTGACGTCGACCAAACGGTACACTATTAAAAGTTTGGAAAAAAATCTACTTAATCTTTAATCTACACAAATCTACCCAGTAAGCACAGGACGTTTTTAAAACGTTTTAATTCCGTTCAATTTACGGTCGGACGTTAAAAGAACCAATACAATCGTTTTTAAAACGTTTTTTTGCAAACGTTTTTTTTAATGTTAATTTAAACGTTTTTTTAGCGTTTTTTAAACGTTTTATTTTTTTTATTAACTTACGAAATTTCTCAGTTAGCTTACGAACGTTTTTAAAACGTTTTTTTAACGTGATAAAAAAACTTTTTTTACAGCACGGCAATATTTAAAAGAGTATGTTTACTCAAATAATGGCGTGACCTTCGATTAGGCGAATTGATTTATTTAAGTAAAAATTATATAAATTAGTATATATTTAAATCAACCAAGTGTTTGTATTGTTTTTTTGTAGAATTAAATTTGAAAATATATTGGAGTATTTTTAGTTTAAAGTTGTATGCCTTCGAGTGACTTACTTCAAAATGTCATTTTAAAATTTTTATTCTTTAATGATATTCTGGTGTTATTACCAAATGTTTAGCAGTATGAAACCTATAATATTATATACCATACTATATACCCTATTTTACTTATAAAGTTAATAATCTGTAAAGTAATTTGTAAAAATTTTTTAATTGTAAAATTGCTACATGAGAAGACAAGTTGTTAGATGAAATTCAAATATTCTCTATGTTTGTGTTGTGTAGGTCAAAAAATAATAAACAAAGATGATATTGATTGTGATGACCAAGAGATTCATTTTAAGACACATCAATCTTCATCATCTTTAAATAAAAAGGATAAACATTATGGATTTCCATTATCTCAAGCATGTAAGTCTTTAGTTAAAAATAATAATGTAATGTTTGTTGTAAAATGCTAACATGACTGTCAATATTAAAAAATATCATTAAAACGATGAGGTTCCAATTTTAACTTTAAATAATCACCTTCATGAAATCCATTATTTCAATATTATCAAAACTATAAATCTATGGAACAATCTTTCTTGTCTAATCCGAAATCTGAGAAAAAATGCTAATATATATAATATAGCATTGCCACTATTAGGTATTTTACTGTCTATTAGTTTTTCTCTGATTTAGGCTTAGACCACTAAAGTTGTTAAATTGTTAAATTTATGTATTTTGAATTTATTTACGTAGTTTAGTTAAGACAATGTAAAATTTAATTAGTGTAAATTTGTTTAGACTTTCAATATTATGTGTTGCTACTCTTAAATGAGATAAAAACCCAAGGATGCAAAAAACTTAATATAAAATAGTGTGAAGAAAAAGTAGTAACTGAAATAAACAGCATAATAGAATTTGATAAGTTTGACTCAGCACTTGACAATGTTTCATCTAGTAACTCAGTAGTATCTCTGCAGTTGTAAATTGCTAAATTCTGATTTGACAGATTTTTCTTTTTTTTTTTTAATTTTCTTTACAATATATAATTTTTACTACTTAATTAGGAATTGTCAGATTTCCATTATTTCTCTCTATTAGAAACAAAGAGTTCAAAATAATAGTGGTAAGAACTGTCAAAAACTTGTGATAGCTATGATGAAGAGGTTAGTAAATTAAAAGTGCATTCCTATAAATACTCTGTTTAATTTTATAATGATATTACTCCCGTCTTACAATCCATTATACAAATCCCATGCATGGCTCTACGTTAGCCGTTTTACCATAATGGGATGACTGAATAACCGTGAATTTTATACGCGCAAACTAGCACATGTGCGAAGTAGTTACAAAAACTGGCACAATGCCAAATGGCATAAGTGCAAATGGGCATAATTGCACAAAAAGAATTCCAAACATTGGCATAATTGCAAACTGCTATAAGTGCAAACTGGCATATGTGTAAATTGGCATAAGTGCGCTAAATAGATTTACAAACATTCGCATACGTGTGAATTACCATAAGTGGGAACTGGTATAAGTGTGAAGCAGTTGCAAACACTCGCAAAAGTGCAAACAACATAAATGCGAACTGGCATAAGTGTGTCAAATAAATTTGCAAAATTTAGCATAATTCCAAACTGCGAATTTATTACACGCATTTATGTCAGTTCGCACTTCTGTAGTTTTTGCCTATTTGTATTGTTTGCTAACCTGTTTGGCGCACTAATGCCAATTTACACTTTTACCAGTTTGCAAGTTTAAAGCTATAGGTTATACTACAGCTTTAAACTTTAGTCCAGATAATTCTTTTAACCCAGATAATATTCATATATATGACTACACTAATGGTTAGTGTACACTTATGATCTGGACTATATTAATGGTTAGTATGCTATTTTTTAAATAATAGATTAGATTTAATTAATAGATAAATTGTATCATTAAATTAAAATCTAAATGTTTAATTACATTTAGATTTTATGGAAAAAAAGAAAAAAATTTTAAATACAGTAGTTAATTATAATTTCATAAATTATAAGATATAATATTATTAAAATATATTATTTTTAGATTTATGACAAATTCGCTCATGGCCAAATCTAATATGGCAGCTGGAAAAAGCAAAGGATCTTTTTAGCCTAACTAAGCTATACAACTTAATAAAAGGTACGTTTATATATATATATATATATATATATATATATATATATATATATATATATATATATATATATATATATATATATATATATATATATATATATATATATATATCATGGCCTACTTGAATTACACGGCCTGATTTGTTGCATTTTCCGTAAAAAATTAAGAGGCCAGTTTTTTTACGGCTCAAGTATAAAAAACTTCATGTTATGGTTAAGAGTCTTGTTTGCACTATAATTGTTTTATTTTTATTTAATTAAAATGGTTTAATAATAGTTAGATTTTTTTTGAGTACTTACATTATTTTGTGCTGGATTTTCTGTTAACTGATTGCCTGCTTCAGTTTATTCCAACAACACAGAATACTGAAAAAGGCTTTCAGATAACTATATCAACGCATACCAACATGCTACTAAAAATAATCTTTCATGTTGCTAAGATTGCCTAAAACTCTCTATTGAACAAAAAAAAGGTTTGTACTTTCGTATTTTTTATAATCGAAATTAGAAGAAGAAATTTTTGTTAGAAATGTTTATTTTGTCATTGTCTTTTTTGGAATTCTTTTACTTGACCTTTTCTCAATGAATATGTAATTTTTTATTATAAAAAATATTGTTAACAATACTAAATCTATATTTGATTCCCCATTTTTGGTGGTTTTTATTTGTAAAAGTAAAACTCCTAGATCAAATCTTTAAAATTTGTTTCACAAATTTTTAATTGAAATAGAATGACTGCAATGTTTCATTAGAGAAATAACATAAAATACTAAAAAGATGGCAAATAAAATTAGACAGAGATTGAATTGAATATATAGGTTCTTCTCTTTATAAAGTAACGTTTATTGATCATAAGTTTTAAATTAAAATCTTTTTGTTAATTTTTACCATTATTACTTGCTTTAGTATATATATCTGTGCTATCTTCAGAAAGCTGACAGTAGTATTTATGTAGACAACTAAGAAATATTTTGCATAATATTTTTTAAGGATTATCAAAATTCTGATAAATATTTTCTGAGAAAATCTGCCAAAATATTTTTACTAATGCATATTTCTAAAAGACTCACAAAAAGTCTACTACTGGTCATTTAACTATACTTACTAAAACCTAGCTTTAAAGGATCACTTTGTAAATTAGAACTATAAACAAATGTAAAGCCTTCTTTAAGGAAATCATGCATAAGAAATACAATTACTTTTAGTGTTGTAATTAGAGCACAAGAAGTTTGTTTGGTTAATGTAAAGTATTTATCAAATTTTATTTTGATCAAATTTCAGTACAATTTGCAATTTCTCTATAAAGTGTGGGTTTGTTATCACCTTTCAAAGCAACACTGCTGAGTTTGATTGGATGAATTAAGTTTCTGCTTTGAATTAAGTATGATAAATAACTTATAAAACAATGATAAAAATTGTGCTGCATTATTTCTTTCAGAAAAATAACTCTAAATTACAGCTGCAGTTGTTTCGTCAAATATTTTCAATGTTGACAACTTGTTTGTTGTTTCCAAAATATGTGACTTGATAATTAATTTTTATTGCTTTTTCTTGCCTGTTTAATAATTGATCTTTTAATAAACTTTAAGAAATATATTCCCTGTAATGTAATCAGCAGTAACTTCAACAAGAAGAAAAAAACAAAAACCGAGAATAACAAGTATGTTTTAAACACTCCTTTTCTAAACTAAATGATAAATTAATACTTTTCCATCCCCAGTATATGCTTTATTAAACTACAAAATGCATTAACATTTGTAGAATGGTTATCGGTAACAACAGCTCTTATCTTGAATTCAGATTGGTGCATTGAGGTAATATACTCATCATTTTCTTTTTTCAAACATAAACCAGTTATGTAAACTTTAGATGAGGATTTCAAAACATAAGAATAAATTTTTGAAGCCCTACAATCATAAAAACAAAAAACTTCTTTAAAAACTTTTTTAAAAAGATTATTTTCTCAATCTTCATCAAATCGTTTACCACTTTGGTATTGGGCTGCTTTTTGGAAGTACATCTTACCCACAAGAACCAAATAATCTCTTGATACCAAATTTTTGTCAATGATTTTTCTAACATATTATAATTTTTTAATTTGTAATTTTCACCTCTGCGAAATCATTTAAATAAAGAAATATGATAAGCATTTATTTGGCAATGAAAAAAATTAGAAATTTATTAACAGCTATTGACTCCAAAACAGTTGGTATGCCTGATATTTCTTGCCTAATGTAAATAAATGGCCTGATTTATTGCATTTTAATTATTGTATGTTTGAGACATCCAGCATAGTAAAGTATTTATATTGGAAAACCTTGTTTTGCAGTGTAAATATTTTGAAGAAAAGTTTATGTTTTCTACTTAACAATTGCAATTATATTAAATACAAAATTACAAACCTTTAAAATTATTTCCAATAGAGAATTGTGAGTAGGTTTAGCAATATGTAAGATTATTTTTAGTAGCATGTTGGTTTGTGTTAATATAGCTATCTGAAAGCCTATTTCAGTATTCTTTGTTATTGGAATAAACTGAAGCAGGCAATCAGTTAACAAAAAATCTAGCTCAAAATAATGTTCTCAAAGAAAATCTAACTATTATTAAACCATTTGAATAAAATAAAGATAAAACAACTATAGTGCAAACAAGACTCTTAACCATAACAAAAATGAAGTTTTTATACTTGAGCCGTAAAAAAACTGGCCTCTTAATTTTTTACGGAAAATGCAACAAATCAGGCCGTGTAATTTAAGTAGGCCATGATATATATATATATTTATATATATATATATATATATATATATATATATATATATATATATATATATATATATATATATATATATATATATATATATATATATATATATAAATATATATATATAAATATATATATATATATATTTATATATATATATATATATATATATATTTATATATATATATATATATATATATATATATATATATATATATATATATATATATATATATATATATATATATATATATATATATATATATAAATCTATATATAACAATTATTAGGTGGGATTGTATTTCTAATTTACCGAATACTAACCTGTTTCCTTTTTTTCTCCTCTTCAAGCACTGTGTATATATATATATATATATATATATATATATATATATATATATATATATATATATATATATATATATATATATATACAAATAGTATTGCGTACTAAAGTAAGCAATCTGATGTCATACTGAAATAGCCTGCTGCTGGGGGCTTCAGTACATACATCGACTGACAAATAGCCTGACTCGCAGTCCACTGCGAGTCAGGCTATTTGTCAGTGCTGCTACATCAATTGAGGGTCTGGGATGGGAAAGCAATCATTTTATTCATCATTCTTTGTTTTTTCTTCTTTTTCGAAAAAAACGATAAAGCTTAAGGTAAGCAGAAAAAGTGAGCAAATGCTTATCAAAACACGTTTTAGTAAGTGTATATATATATATATATATATATATTATTTTTGTATATACATAATATATATATATATATATATATATATATTATTTTTGTATATACATAATATATATATATATATATATATATATATATATATATATATATATATATATATATATATATATATATATATATATATATATATATATATATATATATATATATATATATATATATATATATGACTAGATCGCCTTAAAGTCGCCAAATCGTGTAAAAAATTTCCACGGAAAGTCGACTTGAGTGGAAAGTCGACAAAATTGAGTCGACCTAACGTTTTTCATCTTAGTTTCATCAAATTCAGTCTTACCTATAAGTTTTTTTTTTCTATTTCAATGAAATATAGTAGTTTTTGATTAAAATTACAAATTTGTTTTTTTTAAACTGCCGTCGATGAGTATTTTTTTAAATATCTCATTTTAAGCTTATATATGTAAACAAATTTAAAATATCGACGTAAGGTCGACGGCACTTAATATCTTGAAAATTATGAAGTATAACTGTATATATCATGCTGTTATGGAGTTAAAAATGTTTTCTCTGTCACTCAGTTAAAGTTTTGAGAGTTTATTAACGGATATCATTGCAAATACAACATATATATGAAATATAGGAGATATACAGTTTTATTTTAAGTCATTTCCATTTTTCTCGTATTTCAAACGAATTTCCTTACCATGCGGAGTCGCTTTTCCCGGAAACTTGTTGTTTTTTATGAATGTTTTTGTTTTGATTTCTTTATTTTGAAAATTTTGTATGTTTATATTGTTTGTTTATATTGTAGCTGAACCTTTTTATTTTTTTACACTAACTTTAAGAATCTTATTTTAAATCTTTTTTCTATTTTTCTAAATATTTAAGTGCTTTTATGAAAAAAAATATTATTGCTATATAGTAAACTAGACAACCTATTAGAAGTCTAATATCCTACTAGTGTATTTGACTTCTAATATGCGTTCAGATTAGTACTGCTAGTATTACTAGCAGTATTAATCTTTATGGTACAGGTATTATAGTTTAGGCAGGAATAACTATAAAGAGTTTTTGACTGTTAACAGTCTTAAACTCTATAAAGTTGTTCCTGCCTAAACTATAACGCCTGTATCATACAGAATAATACTATCTATAACTAATGTCTAATAACTAATAATTACTAGTAATATACAAGTGTCTTATAATTAGTTATTAGACACATTAGTAAAGTAATTAGATCTATATATTATAAGATAGTTATTATTACTTATTTAACAGTTGACAAGATAGTTTTGTTCGCCATATTGTAGTGGATAAAACACTCTTATATTTGTGATCTACAATGGTTTAGTTAGGAGAATGCATGACTACTGGTATAGAATAGAATACAAGATAGAAAACAAGACTAAATAGAAAGCAAGACTAACTAGGAAATAGGAAATAACGCATTCACCTTCCTCTAATAAATTAAGAAACTATGATTGTATCAAGTTAACTATATTTTATGGTAGGCAAGTTGGCATACCTGCAAGACTTACAAGTAAAGAACATAAAAATGCCTTGAACAATATATGATTAAATGAACAAAGAATAAAAAATGCATTATCTGAAAATCAATTAGAATGTAGAATGAAGATTAATTATCAGTCTGGAAGTGGGTTTAGTTGTTCCTCTCCTGTCTTAATTCCTAGAGATACAATTAAAAAAAAGTTGTTAGGTTTGGCTGATATTAGTAGTCAGGTTGGAGTTTCAGCAAAAACGCTATTTATTCTAGAACACAATTTTTACAAAAATTCTGTTTTGAATAAAATATTCTAAAAATATAATAAGGCAACTTAACGTGATCTTGTACAAATAATTGCCATCGCCTTGCTACACTAATAGCTGATTATACGGTTTCGGATGCTGAAATGACTATCAAACTTTAGCAGCTTACTATCTTTTTTACAGGGAAAGTGTCTTGGAGCTTTTTATCAAAACTCCTGTATATATATAAAGATATTTTGATTTGTTTGAATAGTTTTTAAAGTAGCTATTTTTATTTTTTTAATGATTGATTTTTGCAAAAAATATTGTTATGAGAAAAACAAAAGAACACAATAAAATTTACTAAAGTTTTTTTAACAAGATGTAAAGCAAGACTTTTAAAAGCAATTAAAGTTAAGAGTAGCACTGCAAGCAGTTTAAATGAATTAGGTATATATCTTATTTACTATTTAATTTATTTTTGCATGTTTTTATATGTTATAAATAAAACAAATAAATTTAAAAAACAAATAAAATTTTATTTGTATATCAAGTTATTTTTTATATGACTATTTTTAATTGATAATTAAATAACTTTTATCAATATTCTGTACTCAAGTTTAAAAAAAATACAAATGAAAACCTTTTTCTACTGAATATGAAAGCAGTTCAAGCAAATTGTAGTTCCATTTTCAAACTAATGATTATCAAATAAATAAAACTGAAAAAAGTTCTGTCTCAGTCTCAAGTTTTATAGCAAAGTACTAGGTTGGTTGAAAAGTTCGCGGAGCGGAAATGAAAAAACAATTTTATGATTCAAAAAACTTTATTCTTCAGTATATTCTCCCTTAAGAGCAATACACTTTTTCCAACGATTCTCCAATTCATGTCTCCCATCTCTGAAGTGCGATTCCGGAAGGCCTTCAAAATACCCATTTACGGCTGCAATGACTTCTTCATGTGATGAGAAACGCTTTCCACGTAGAAATTTTTTGAGATGTGGAAAGAGGTGGAAGTCGGACGGAGCCAGATCTGGTGAATAGGGTGGATGTTCCAAGCGTTCGTACTTTAATTCGACCAATTTCGCCTTTGCAACATCGCTGATATGAGCAGGTGCGTTGTCCTGGTGATAAATGATTTTTTTATGCAGCAAACCAGGTCTTTTCTCACGAATTTTTTTATCCAACTGGTCCAAAAGATTTTTATAATATTCACCTGTTATCGTTTTACCGGTTTGAAGGTAATCTATTAATAAAATTCCTTTCGCATCCCAAAAAACTGATGCCATAACCTTCTTTGACGATTTTGACGCCTTCACTTGCTTCGGAGCTGAACAACCGGGTTCTGTCCACTCTGCAGTTTGTTGTCGCAGCTTCGGATCATAGTGGTAAACCCAAGTCTCATCCATGGTTACGAATCGACGCACAAAATCTGTTTTATTCTTTTGAAAACGGGCCAAATGTTCTTGAGAAAGTTTTACTCGAGTGCGTTTCTGATCCAGAGTTAGCGAATGCGGCACCCATCTTGCCAACAGCTTTCTCAGACGTAATTCATCGTGCAAGATGTGTAATACCCGTTCATCTGAGATGCCCACAGCCTCAGCAATTTCACGTTTGGTCAATCGTCTATCATCCATAACCATGTCATGCACAGCATTAATCGTTTCTTCAGTTGTAGCACTTTTTGGACGTCCAGAGCGAGGGTCATCTTCAAGGCTTGAACGCCCACGTTGAAACTCCGCAGCCCATTTGCATACTGTTGTTTTTGAAGGAGCATCATCACCCAACACATTTACCATTTCATTATGAATTTCCATGGGCTTTAAACCTTTTTTCACAAAGAATTTTATTACAGCACGATGTTCAATATTTTCCATTTTAAAAAATACTATGACACGTCTAATTTCAATAGCTTGTAAACAAAGACTGAAATGACATATCGACTTGAAATTTTTTATGCGTTCATACGAAGAATGAATACGTTTAATACAGTTATAAATTTGTTTCTACTACTGCAACATAGGTGCCGCTCCGCGAACTTTTCAACCAACCTAGTATACACCAGATAATCTGTCTCTATTTATATATTACAACTTTTTTTTTTTATTTTGAAGATTTTTTTTAAATGTTAATGATCACATTAGACTGAAAAAAAATTGTTATTTAAGGTTATATTACTTTAGGGATTAAATTGAAAGTTTTCTTCAATAGCAGCTAAAATGGTGGTGCAAAGTGGGCTGTGCCTTCAATACAAGAGTAGAAAAAAATAGCCTACATAATAATCAAATAGCTTATTTATTTTATTTTACCTTATTAATAAACTTAAATTGGCTCCTCCACTTCAAATATAGTTCCTCTAATATAGTGAATAATACTTATATATGCACTGTAAGCAAATACTTAAATAGTTATTTTGTGTATAACTATGGAGCAAATTTTGACAATTCAACTTTTAATAAATGTGTTTTTATTTTTTTCAATTTTCATTTTATTGTATCAAGAGTATGTGTAGACATGAGGGCAAGGAGATGGGTAAAATTTAAGAGCATTTGAGAAAGTTCTACATATATGAAAACTTTTGAGTCTTGTGAGTAGCTATAAAAGTTCTATAAATCTTATTTAAGTCGTAGGTATAATCAAAAGGATAATATAAGTGAGAGAGTGTTTTTTATAAAGATTTCTGAAGTATGTTAGTTTAATCACAGGGTATCACTTAATGCATTTACTTGGATACCCTGATTAGGTATAATAATATTGTATTAAAAAGATTTATCTTTTTAATACAATATTGTGGTTAATTTTTATCAAATAAGATGGAATAAAACAAAAATTAAGGGTAAATGTTAAAATAATCCATAAACTTTTTTTAATTTATATCACTTGTCACAAGGTGCTGATTTATTCTTATTTTACTTTTGATTTGAGTAGATAACTTTGTATCTTTATTTCAAATTACAGCACATATCTTTTCTATTTCAGGTCGACAAGATATTATTAAGTTTGGATTAAAATACAGATCTAGCCCAGACACTGTTGAAAACAAAATCATTAACGAAATAGCATAAAAGATGCGAACCTTTTCCGAAGTTCTAACGACATTAAAACTTATTTTTTTAAAGTTAATTTAAAACAGTTCCGAATAAAATTTATACTTTGAAGTAATGTTTTTTCAATTAACTTTTTCCCTTAAAGTTTCATTTATAAAACCTTTTAATTAATTTTGTGAACCACGGCGATACCAGTGACACAAAAATACACACTTTTTTTCACCTCGGCCTGTGTATTTATAAGAATTGTTATCCCGCGGGGAGCGCATTTTTTTATTGTCGACTTTAAGGAGATCTAATAAAAAAAAAAGTTAAAGTCAACTTTTAATAAAAAAAAATTTCTCGAAAACGTTAAGTCGACTTAACATTGAAAATTAAAGAAAAGTTTTAAAATATTTAATTCCCAATTGAAGAAGAAGCCATTTCATTAATTTTTCAAAAAAAAAATTTTTAATTGATAAAGTTATACTGATTTTTGAGGCGTCGACTTTCCGCAGGTACTTTTTTGCTGTCGACTCAAAGTTGATCTAGTGGTATATATATATATATATATATATATATATATATATATATATATATATATATATATATATATATATATATATATATATATATATATATGTATGTATATATATGCAATGTGATACAAAATACAAAAATATTTAAACCTCAAATTTATAAAATATATATATATATATATATATTTATATATATATATATATTAATATATATATATATATATATATATATATATATATATATATATATGTATATATGTATATGTGTATATATATATATATATATATATATATATATATATATATATATATATATATATATATATATATATATATATATGCAATGTGAAGTTGTATATATATTTTTTTAAAACATATATTTGTAATTTAAAAACTTATTACTATTATTATTATACTATAATACTATTATTACTGTTCAGATTGTCTGTTTTAAATATATAGTTTTTTTTTTTAGTTTGTGCATCGACTTCTCACGAATCATACACAGAGTCGATTGTCGATGCAATAATTGCTGATTCGTGAAAACGGGCAACTTTTGCTTGTCTTAAAGTGCCTTATATCCATCGTTATAATATTACTTTGTTTGTAAATTGTTTTAAAAAATAAATTTAAAAATAACTTTTAAATAAATTTTTTATTTTTCTTGTTTTTTAAACCAACAGGTTCTTTTAAAAACAATTTAATAATAGTACCTATGGATTTGGGAATATTTTCTAAAAAATAACGTCTTTTAAAAGTTTAAAAGACGCCTAAATTATGGTTTTATTTAGGTTATTTGAGAAAACGTTTTTTTTAGAACGTTTTTTAAACAACTTTTTCAGAACGTTTTTTAAACGCTTTTTTAAAAACGTTTTTTAGGTATTGCCATTCAGAACGTTTAAAAAACGTTTTTTTTCTTAGTTAAAAAAATGTTTTAAAAACGTTCATGTGCTTACTGGGTACTCTAATCAGTTTTAGTACATATTGTTGAATATAATTGTCAAAACACGACATTTCTATCAATTTTTTAGAAAAAGTATGAGAATTCCGACCAAGAAAGAGCTTATAATTAAGAAAAATTGCCAATAAACAATAAGAACAGATCATATTATTAAACTATGATGTTTTCACCTATTCATTTAAAATCTTATTCAAAATTAGACAAGCAATAGTAATTTTAAGAAGACTTTTTTATATAAAAAAAAAAGAGTCTTTAGTCTGGTTTTTTTCCCTACAAACATTTCTATTTCATTTTACGGCAAAATTTTTAATTTTTAAATAATTTATTATAAATCTTTTTAACTTTTTTTTAACTTTTCATAATTCATATACCTGATCATATAACGGAAATATATCGCAGTCGCGATCGTTTTTTTCGTAAACGGTGGCTCCCAATTTAAACGGTGGCTCCCATTTTTGGTAAAAGTAAATTTGAACCTTCTTTTCTATAACAAGTAAAATTAATCACATTAACACAAGTAAATTATTACATTAAATAAACTACTGATTATATTCTATTGAATTACTATTAAATTAGTTAATTTAAGTAAAATTAACTGCAACTAATAAAAGCCTTCTTAAAAAAGGACAGAAAATTTTAATATCTTTTGCATTAAAAATATTCAAGACAATATTATTTTAACTTCGAATACTATAAATGAAATTGATTCTTCTGTCAATACCTATTATTTACGTACACATGTCTACCATTTAATGAAAAATGCTATAGGATATAATTGGCACAATAAGCATTATTAGTAGTCAAAACAGCAACATGCAACTAAGCAGCCGTGGCGCAGTGGTAGCGCACTTGCCTCAGGAACGTAAGATCCGCGGTTCAAACCACCTCTGGGCAAGTTTTGCGACATCGGTTAGGAAGGAGGCGTGAACTTCCTATTAAATGCTCTTCCGCGGTGCTCTGTGATAAGACCGTAAGGACTTCTTGGGGCACCTAAATCAACATAAAAAAATTAAAATGTATATTAAAAATATATATATACAACATAAAAAAAAAAAAAAAAAAAAATTACAAGTGTTATAGGTAGCAATGCACAATAATTAAACAACACTATAACTGTATAACTGTAAAAATCTATTAAGTGAATAAGAGTATAAATTATATAATAAGTAGTAGTAAAAAACAGACCAGATTCTAGTCTATTGTCGACAATAGTATTGTCATGTCAATATAGAATCATAAACTTTAACTTATTATATCAGTTATAAAAAAAAATGTATATAAAGCACCTAATATTAACTGCTTTTTAACCAATAAAATTAAACTCAGCCAAATTTCTTCTAACAGTTCATTTTATTTAAAGTATATTTAATGTTTTATAATAAAAACATTTAAATAATCGATTTAAAAAAACTCATATTTTCAGAATACATAACTCTCGTTAAAACGCACGTGCATTTTCAAGGTTTTTCACCGTTCCTCGTCTCAACATTTGTTTGTTTGGTTGATTTAAAATTTACTTTTACCGAAAATGGGAACCACCGTTTAAATTGGGAGCCACCCTTTACGGAAAAAAAAAATCGCATCGCAGTCAGCAAAATATTATACAAACGCTATAATATTTTAAAATCGCTTTAAATGCACAAAGTAATCGGAAAAATGGAAACAAATGTTACATATTCTTGGTAATAAAATTTCCAAATAATTAAATTTTTTTTTTAATTAATGAAAACTAAATTAAGTTTACTGAAATTAAATAATAAAATAAAATATAATAATGAATTAAAAGCGTAAAAACTAAATAATTCTATTCCTAACTTTACAACAGTTATTAAAAATTTTTAAAATACGGGGAAGTTCGAGAACGAACTTAATATATAAAGATAAAAATCAAAGATGAAAATGAGATTTATAAACTAAAAATTAGCGATTTAAAAAGAGGTCTCAATTTTATCAACAATTTTGTTAATAAAATTAATTTTTTAATAAAAATCCATTCTTCGCTCTTTCGATTTCGTTATTAAACGAGCGTATCAAATAGGAAAAAATTTTAAAACTTAAATTAATAACAAAATAAATATAAGTAAAAAAAAAAGAAAAAAAACAGAAAAACAGAAACATAAGAAGAAAAAATTTTAAATTATATAGACAAAACAGCTATCCAATACATTATTATTATTATAACAAAACTCTAGGAACAAGTTATCATAATAAAACTCTAGAATCAACACTTTTTATAAAAGATGTTTTTTATAAATAGCTTTTTTTAAAAAAAAATTTTATAAATATGAAAAAATCTTATTCAATTTTAAATTTAATTTGCATGCTTTTCGCGCTATTTTTCGGAAGCGATCGGACATTCACGTTTCGGGCGTATGGAAGCGAACGGACCTTCAACGAAGCAAACGCACATTCGACGTTTGGAAGCGAACTGAAATTCAACAGACATTCAAGCGCTATTTTTGAATGCCTACAACATTGAAAGCCAACAGACATGTTTTTTAACTGTTGTAAAATTTGTAAAAGAAATAGAATAAAAATAAAAAAATAAAAAAACTCTAGAAAGACAATTTTTGATTAAGGTAATAGCGAGGTTAAAATGCTACTTTCCGAAATTCGTTATTGTAACTCTTTTGAGTTCATTAAAACTGTTGAATACATTAACAAAAATAGTTAGCATGATTTTTTTTTTTTTTTAACAAAAAATTTAAGATGTGTTAAATTTGACTGTAAAAAATGACCTTTTTGAAGCATCATAACTTAATAAAACAAAATAAAATTAAATATCCTTTTTGCACTTTTGCATTATATGATATTATACTCCGGATGACCAATAGGATTTGCATAAATTATTTTACTCTAAAAGTTACTGAACTTCTTGTGAAAATAACACTCTTTTCAAACAAACTTTGATTTAAAGTTGCACCTAAACTAGATTTTCAGTGTTTTATGTGAAACATGAATCGCAACTTTAAAAAGCAACTTTACTTATTAGAAAAAACTAAATATGTTTTAATATTATTTGTTTAAACAAGGACGTATTAGTAAAAAAAAGCAATTGCTTTTACTCAGTAATTGGTCAGCTTCTCGTAAATAAAAATTTCAGCAATTTTGCTGAAGTTTTTTATTCACGTAAAGCTGAGCAATTACTGAGTAAATTGCTTAACTTTACGTAAATAAAAATTTGTGGAAAACTACTGAAGTTTTTATTCACGTAAAACTGACCAATTAATGAGTAAAAGTAGTTGCTTTTTTAAATTCACCCGGCCTATTATTACATGAACGTTTGACTCATCGCTTAAAAGCTAAGATATCTGCGCTGTCAATTGTTATAAATAACAAAAGCAAAACGATACAAAACATTTGCGTCACGTGTAAATACTTTTAAATAAAATTGCAAGGAATTATGCATTTAATTCTCTTAAAAATGAGATAACTGTTATATTTTTTTAGGCCAAAATACTTAAGAATAAAAAACCACAAGTCGTTTTGGAAAAAATTTAATTTTATATTAAAATATCTAAATCAATTAAAATGTAATAAAAAAAAGAAATTTTTTAAAGACGCGCTACCTCTATAGGCACTATATCTTTTTTTTATATATATTCATCTTTCTTTAAATATTTATAAAGGGTTGAAAATTTCTACAAAAGCTTGTTAATACCTGTATTCAAAAGAAAACTGCATAAAATTGAATGCTTACAAAACCATGTTCTTGCTCACCGAAAAAAAAAATAATTAAAAACCCGAAATAACGCTTAATTACCAACAAATATAACGTCATCATAAACTTAGTTACCTAAGCTTTACACAGGATACAAAAAGTTTACCGTTTTCCTAACTTAAACGTTTAAATATTACCCGCCAAAAAAAATTTCCGGCCAGTAACAGAGACTTTATTTCAATCTGGAATCTGCTTTTGCTCGCCCAAACTTCAATGCCTAATAAATGTAATTCCTGAAACAGATCTTCAAATTCAAATTGGTCTTGCAACACTTTTTAACACAAGTGATGATATTCTCTTTTTGATGTAAAGTCAAAAGTGCTGAGTTTTGCAACAAATCAGAAATCTCAGTATTTACATTAGAAAAGACTTGTGGAACAATTGACACTGACGCTGCATTCTTCTGCATTCTCTGATTCAAAAATGGATTCTGATATAGGTTTCAGAAGTTTGAAAACTAAATTCTTTTTCCAAAATATTTCATTCAATACCAATTTCTTTAAGTCGATTCCTTTTTTTATTATTATGTTTTTCAAGATACTTTTGCGCTTTTTCTTTGAAAGTCTAGTTGACCATCTTTTTACAACAGGTACAATTAAAAATATAGCTCTAAGTATAAATATAAATTTTTTACAATAATGTTCAAGGAATGTAGGTTACAACACTTTTTAGAATGTAATCACTTTTAAAAAATTTAACTAATTGTTTATTTTGCTTCAGTGTTTCCGAAATTATGTTGTTTTTATTTGTTAAATCACAACCTAATATATTTAGGCCATAAGAGAAGCAGCCATATGCTGACATATATGCAGCCATATGCTGACAATAATATTTATTATCTATTTATTTCCAAACTGCTACCATGTTAGCTGCATTATCAGTGCGAAATGCTTTAATTTTTCTATTGTTTGGTATAAAAAATTTTCTTCAACAATCTCAATTTGATTAAATATATTTTGTTCAGTGTGG